AATCCCGCTTAGTCCTTGACCACAGAAATATAATCAGAAGATGAAACTGAAATTATTTACATATTGACCGGTATTGAAGCAAACAACATCCTCTGCTATTTGGGTTTTATTTTTGAAGGGAATAACCTGGAGATATGTTAGCTCTTTTGCAATGTCTCAGCAGCATGTTGGGCACTGTGTAACATAAGAATACGCATTCTCCGCTGCTGGTCTTATCTAGCATCCACTTTGTTTCTGTTAGCTCGATCCTTTCTCACAGGCATCACCAAAGAAGTGGTACTTGAGCAGGATTCAGAGCTGTGGACTCCAAGACTTGGGCACATCTTCATGTTCACCACCAGTTACGCTTTAAATTGAGACCCTGAGTGACCCAGTTTGCTTTCGGTGTCCTCAGAATATTTCCGCTCTCCCCCATTGGTCTGAAATTCCAAAAGGGCTCTCAAAGTTGGAGGCACTGGCAGCACTGGATCCCTGACTGTCCCCTGGGAGGGACAGGGCAGGCAGTGGCAGTACAAGCCCTTCTCTTTGTGTGATTCTTTCCCCTCTGCTCACTGAGAGGCTCCAGCTCTCCCAGTCAACATCATGTGCATCCCAGTGGGCCAGAACACGGGCAGTGAAGTGCTCCAGGTTGTCCTCCAAGGGTCTGATCCTCCCAGAACATTTCTAATTTTTTTTGTTGTTATTAAAAATGAACAGTTCCAGGCCTGAAAGCCAAGCAATTTACTCACTGGTCTATGTAATTCTCTTATTTCCTGACTAATATAATCCATAAGGGCCACAATATGTTAATTTTGTGCTCAGTCAGCCTTTTTTCCTTGTTTAGACTTATACTGCAGACATCATAAATTTGACATAGCAAACAGTGACAGGACCTTTGCTTTACTTCAAATATTCTGGATAAAAGTGTGTCCCAGCAAGGCAATTTCCTTTTAATAGGAACAACTTGAGAAACTTTTCTTTTTTCTTTCTGCAACATTAATCTTTAAAAATGGATCAGACTAAGCAGCTTCCTGTTTGGTGGTGACTATCCTTTTGTATCTTACTCCATTTATTCCTCCTGCCTGTTGAAAACACCCTTTGCTTAGAAGATTTCCTATATGGTGTTTTTTCCATCTTAAAGTAGCTGCTTGCCCGTAAGACAATTAGGACAAGCAGTAAATATTTACAGCTTCGAACAAGCATCTGGGGAGTAGTTACTACAACCGTCTGAATTACCTCAAATTGATTGGCAATCAATTAACCTGAGGGAAAATTATCTAGCACGGAGTAGCTGAAGAGGAAGAGCTGAACTCCCTAATGGCCCCAAGTGGTTTAGTAGCCAACAATCACAACCACTCAGGAAAACAATGGGAATTAGACCTGCTCAGACAAAGCCTGTTGGGCACCTCGGATGGAACTAGCCCTTAAATGTCTTTAAAGCCCCCGTGACAATTTCAGATATTCTGATACAAACATTTTTTAAGAGGTGAATCAGTTGCTCTGTTGAGAGAGTTGCTAATAACGTCCAGATCACAGGTTTCTGAGTCAGGCAGATGCATATGCAATAATGTTCTTTACCGGAAACACAGCATTGATACGTGCAGATAAAGCCAGATGCAGACAAAAGATGGCATGTGATGGTGTAAAGGCTTCACTGGCAAAGGTTTGGGAAAGCTGAATTGCTCACAATTAGGGAATTATGCAAAATGTCCTCAAGGAGTGATGATGTATTTCAGAAAAATTGTTATATGCTTACTTCAGACCTCAACTCTTTACCTAACCTCTGCCTTTCAAGCCAAGCACATACTTGACAGATAAGTAATGAAGTCCAAACTCTTCCTACCATAATCTCAGGGCTTGCAATTCCAGAAAACTCCTCAAGCAACATCAGCAGATTGTTTATTTTTGTTGAAAATTAAAAGTAAATTTTGGAATTAATGGTGCAGCTTGGTGGCCAAAGTAGGGAGAGATAATTTGAGGAAAAGGAAATGAAGAGCATGAAATTCTCTCTTAAGTCAGTTGCTGGAAAATCCAATGTGCTCAGTGCCACTGAAAGTCTCATAAACTAATTTCCAACGCTGAAAAAAATCAAACATTTGCCACAAATCTTTTTATACACTTGCAGGGGATTAAGAATAATTACAGCTGTATTGTTAAGGGGGCCTTAATTAAATGCAATCAGTTTGAGTAGTTTATGTCTTAACCTCACCATCATTTAACCATCAGTTTTTGTGTCCTGCAGATTCTGGATGCTGATAGATCATCCCAGTTCCCCATTTTTTCCATTACCAAGGTTTCATTATGCACGTTAAGCATGTTTCCATTTGCCTGAGGTACACCAGGGGCAGGGAAGCATTTTTCAAAGATAACTCATTTAATATTAAATGTCAAAATATTACTCACTTCTTTAGCAAGATCATGCAGCTGCAACCTGGAGAATTAATTTGGGATGGTGTCTCTGTGGAGTTCAGGGCGTTGGTCTAAGCATACCTTTAGCTAAACAAAAAAATCATTGACTTACCCAGAATTTAAAACATTGTATGGAGCTAACTAAAGGGCAATAATGAACAGCTAAACATACGAAGGAAGTCGTTTTTAAGCCAGAAACGCTGTGATTAATTATGGATAAAACAGCCAGGGGAACTTCTCATTACTTACAGTAATGAAATAAGTCTATTAGCATGATAACAAAGAAAGTGGAAATGGCTGTAGGCTTTGTTTTGAAGATTATCACCATAGCATTTCTCTTCTGCACAAGCAATCAAGAACCCATTAAAGAAAAGATTCATGAATACCCCCCACTTTAGAGACAGAAAATCGATGTAGGAGAAAAAGGCAGGCTGTTTATATTGTACTTGCTTCCTGTGTTTCATTGGGGCAATTCCTGATTTACATTCATGTAATTCAGGTTCCAGACAGCCCTTAAATGACATGTCCAAGGATCTGTGTCAACAGAGTGAACTGTCACCTGATCGTCTCCATCTCGGCTCTGAGAATGTGCAACAAAGGCTTTCTCTTCATGGGAAGGCTGAAATGATAATCTGACTTCCAAGAAGAAGGGTTTCCCATGCCTGCACAGGTAATTGCTTCAGGAGCAACAGACACCCATCCCTGAACTGTGCATTTGCCAACAGAACAAAAAAAAGAGATGAGAACTGATCAGCCCTTATGTGGACTTCTCTCTTTATGTTGTTATTTGCAGGGTTAGGCTTGAGTGTTGTGGAGTTTTATCCTAAGTTTTTCTTCTATACAGGAGCAAACTAGGAAACAAATCTTTTGGGGTGTGTTTTTTTCTTTTTTGGGTTTTTTTGGATTCACACACTTCTAGGGACCTTCTACACATAAAAGCTATTTCACAGAAAAGGCAGAGTGAACTTAAAACAGAGCAAAACTCATATACAAATACCTCGATTTTGTATTAAGAATGTCCAAACTGGTTCTCAGTCAGAAGCAGTGATTCTTCTTTCTTACCTTGAAAACGTCCAAGAGTCTTTAAAGCCAAACTGACCCAGCTCTGCACAGTGCAGGGTGTCAATACACATTTTGCAGTAGTCAAAACACAGCCACCTTTACTGATTCACTCCAGCTCATTCATTACAGAAGCCATATGAAACTTGTTTTGCTAAAAAAGCAAATGGAAAGGAGAGAAATTGAGTTATCTCATGTTTCTTAAAAATGGTATTTGAATGTGATAACAGCCATCCTTTTGCTTATGAAACAAGACAAGGCCAAACTAGTCTTCAAAATTATATGTCAATCCAAAAGCCTGAGAACAATTTTAGTCCCTCTCTTTAGTTCCATTATTTAGCAAAACAGTCAAAGTTAGCCAGGCTTATTCACAGGACCTAAGGTTTCTTCCTGAAATCTAAGGCTCACATATGGCTTTTTTAAATGCTCTTCAATTTTCTCTCTGTTCCCTGGAAGTGTCTCCTACCAGATCACCTTTCTGCACAAGACTAAAGTTCCATGATTTCCTCTCAGGATCTGTATTTCAAAAATCACTGCCTTTGAGCCATCAGGAAATTTTTGGTGCCCCAAACCAGCCTTCAACACGTCCTTTTGGGTTCCCATCTATTTATTTCTTTGCCCCTCTGCCTGCAAAGAAAAACAAACACCTCAAGAAGGCTGTTGAGGTTTGCTCCACAGCTCCCCTCTAGCACTGGCCACAGGCCAGACTTCAAGGTGGGGCTTTATAACCCCGGGATGAACCAAGATAAATCTGTGGCACCAGCAAGAAGTTGGGAATGCAATACCTGCTTCCATTTCAGAAAATGGCAAACAAAAATAAAAGTGGCTTTCTTGTGGCTACATGCAAATCCAAGCTCTACAAGAAAACTGCCTGCTACCAGCTGCTAGAACTGCACAGTCGTACATGTTAAAGTACTTTTAGACAGCACAGCAATGGTTACTATAGAAATACATGGATTTTCCTACAAGAATCATAATCTCTGGGCTGGACACCATGGCCATCACATATGCTGGCACAGCCAATAGCATACAAGAAACGAGTTTCCCGCTTTTGAAAGGTCTTTGTCTTGTCCTTCACCATGATTTGGTTCTCACAAATATTGGCATTGGATGCTCCAAGTCATAAAAGCTTTTTAGAAAAAGCGTTCAACTTCCAGAGAATCCTTTTCCCTTGTACACACTAATGATAAAATACAGACTCCTCTAGTTCCTCTGTAAAGACTAGGAAGGGAAACTGAGCAAAGAAGAACCGCTCTTAACCCAGCAGAAACATTTCCACCCTCTCCTTTCCTCCATCCAACTGGCAATGTTCTCATTTATGGCCAATCCACACAGATGCTTCCATAGGAACTGACTGCAAAACCCCATAAATTGAGATGTATCTGTTTAGTAATAAAATTAACACAGTTTGGGGGCTCTCAGAGACAGGCACATAAAGAAAATGCTTGGTCTGAAGGGCTGGCTACAGAGCTGTGGGTGTATAATCAGCCCAGCTTTCCAGGAAAAAAAAGCTACATTTCCCAAAAGCCAACACAATCAAAACAGATTTTCACTTTGAACTGGTTAAGTACTTCTTTATGCTGATCTTTCACACAGTTTTGCAGGTCATATAAGGAGTGGGGAAAATACAACCCTTTGCTAGTTCCAGCACTGGTAGGTGGCTGCTCATGCTGGCACTGCTCTTCTGGCTGACAAGGAATATCACCACGCCCTAGAAAATGCATTACACAGTACAATGATTATGCATGTTAAAGAAAGAATCATTGCTGCAGGAAAAAGTAAGTCTTAATTATAGATGAGCAAATAAATTCATAATAGCGTCTCTCCCTTTAAACTTTCACATGGTATTTATTTCAAGCTTTTTAATGCATCTTTCTCATTAAGATTTGGAAAATTCTAAGTTTCTCTGACAAACTCATCTCTACAGTACATCATTTTACTTCACCAGGAGCTGGTAATGACCCGAATTACCCGGGATTGTGTTTGTTTCCAGGCTGAATAATTTAAGGACAGTTCAGCTGCCCCATAGGATTTGACCCAATCTGCTTGGCATCATATGGTATCTCCTAGAGAGGTCAACACAGATCTTTCTGAGGAACTGATAAGTCTCAGTTGCTGCAACATGCAGGAAATTAATTCCCACAGAGAACTCATCCTTGTCTTTACAGTCAGGTATTGCCTTAAGACTGGAAGCTCAGTGTTCCCTCTCTAATGTTGTCAGCATCAATTCTAAATCTAGAGAAGATTTTTGTCCATATAGATAAGGAATTTCTAAATGTGGAATATTAAAATCAAATGGGCATACTTGTTGGATTTTGGTCCACATCTTTCAGTTTAACATTTGCTCTTCATGAGCAAATCTTCTCTGCTAAACCCCGAGTGCTAAATATTGTCATAAACCAAATATAAATGAATTGTGGAAACCACTCAACTCAAACTCAGTTTTGCACATGTAAATTAGTTTTTAAAGAATTTCTTTCCTTTTTTCTATGGTTTGTCTATTAACACCATGTCTTTATTTTATTTATTTGCCTTTGTGTTTGATACCTTTCACTGTTTGACACTTCATCAGGCTATCATACATTGACAAGGTGGCTCCACTGAGAATTTAGACTTTAAACAATAGGATTTTATTCCAGCCACCATTTCCTTTAATCAAGAATTAACATGACTCTTCAGCTTTCACCAATTCACTGCTTACACACCTTCATAAAGACTTTTGCTAGATTAATGAATATGTGGTTTGGCCTCAAGTGCTGTGATACTCTGATTGTGTTTTTTGACATGCCTTTATTTTTCTGTCATGTGTTGCACAAGCCTCTTCTAATATAAGGGCTATTGCAGTCACAGAGATTGATAACTTTAGATGATAAAACAGCTACTGGGATAAAAGTACCACCTTTACATTTTGCGTATCTTAATAAAAATTCAGCATCCAAAGTCGAAAATTACACTGCAGAAGCCAAACTCTCCCTGAAATTCTATCACACAAATCACAGTTGTTTATTACCCGCAAAAGTGTAGTGGAGGGGCAGGTCTTTTTTTGTAAAAGATTTAAGGAAATTCTGACACTTCCAATCCTTCTAATTAAAACTCTGCTCCCATGACTCATTCAAGTCACTTTAAAATGTAGACATACATCAACGCAGGCTGTGGGTGTGCACTGATACTGTGATTTACTCTCAATTGCTGGCCAGACTTATCAGTTAAAACAATTTAAAACACATGGGATATTTCTTTTTCTCAACCACAGACTAACAGGCAAAAGCAAAATGCATTTAACCCCTCCAGTTTGAGAGCTGCGTGGGATTCAGCCACACAGCTCCTCGTTAAAGTCAACAGGAGTTCAATTCCATGGGTGTGGTGTGGCACCTTCCCACCCAACTCCTGTAAAGCTGGAGCCTTTGTGTGTCTGGGGGGGGAAGAGGGTGGGCAAAAACACCTTGTCTAGTGGGGTCACTGCCCTTACACTGACTTATGGAGCATCTGACCTGATACCTTGGCCAGCTACAAACCAGAAGGTGCCCAGGTTGGTGGGCTAGTATCCAAATGGTGATTTCCCCCTGGAAGTATGGAGCAAGTGGAATAATCCACTGCTTGTACCTATCCTCAGAAACAGGCCACCTGTGCACCCATAACCTGTGAGGGATCAGTGTCACCCCCTGACAGCAGCAGCAATCAATGATTCAGACAAACTTCTTAAGGTCATTAGCAAAACGTAGGAATTGCTGAGACCATTTAATTGGTCAGGTTGGCCATAAGAGCTGTTGTGTTTATGGTCTATAAAAGATCTGCTCCTTCTTTACACTTGAATGCAGCTCAAGGTGTTGGGTGCTGCTCTTCAAAAGCCACGGATGGAATCCTGGGCCCATGGAAGAACATGGGAACACTGCCATGGAAGACTTTGCCCCACATGTGGTGGTGAAGATTCCTAAAACAAACTTTCCTAGAGGGGAAAGACATTTTGAACTGTTTAGAAGGCTTGCAGCAGTGTTTCAACTTGTCCCAAGCTCTATTGCCTTTTGCATATTTTCTCAGTTTTGAAGACAGCTTGGGAAAGACTTCCAGGAACTGATATGTAAAAACAGGCTCTGACTCCTGCATTTCGGCATCTCCAGCAGCTCCTGCTGAGTTATCTGAGCGCAGTTCTGGGCTCTGCCTCAAATCTTCTCTGTGACCTGGGGTAAAGTTGCTTACTCTCTCCTTTCCTTAGTTTTCCAATCTTGAAGCCCAGCTGATAATGCTTCCTTTCTTCTGTGTCATGTCCTGTCTGCAGAGACCACCAGCTCCAAGAGAGGGTCTCGGCTACAAGGCGGTGTTTGTTCTGTGCCTCCAGCACAGGGCCGGGATCCCACTGAAGCCTCTTGGGGTCCCGGGCTCCGGGCCAAGACTCGGATAAGCTTGGCTTTTGGTTCAAACAAAGGTTCTCTCTCCTCACAGGCCATCACACTCATTTATTTTGCCCTGTGGTGAAGTTAATGCTACATCTGTGATGTCACAGTGGTTCCCATGACAACAGGTTTATGACTTCAGTGTAAAGTCAAATGGAAGGAGAAGCTCAGGGACATGAAGGAAAGCTCTTATTCAAATCAGAAACATCTGACACAATAACAGAGAAAAGAAATGGCCAAGAAGGTACATTTCTTTTACTGTTATACATGTCTGTGGTTTCTTCTTAAGTTTTCAACACCGCGTACTTCTTCCATCACGTTTTAATAGCTGCTCTTCCACTTACATTGCTTCAGTTAAAACTGTTTTCTTTCTTCTTTTAAACAAAAAAGTAAATTTAATACCGTTTGTTTAACTAGTTAATGAATGTCTTTGCCTTTTTTCAATTAGGTTTAATTTAATAGGAGTAAATTTGGACTTCAGTATAGTCTTCCCTCTGATGCCAACTATGAACGATACTATTTCTGAACAAACAGGGGAACTGTTAAAACTGTGGCTTTCCATACTTAGCTGAATAGGCTTTCAAAGAAGAAAATAAAAAAAAATAAACCACATCAAAGATTTTTGGAACACGGATTTAAAAAAAAAAATGCAAGAAAGCAAAGCTATTATGGAATAGAAATAAATACTGGGCAGGGTAATGTGAAGACTCAGAATCTTTTCATTCCATGTTGTTTCCTTGCTGTTTGTTTTTTCCCTGAACACCAATCTCCTCGAACACAGATGGATTAAGGTGCCACCAAGGCACAGACTGAAAGTGGCACTGATGTGGCTCAGTGTTTGTCCAACACTGTGGGAACATTCACAGGAGCTATCTCTCCTGCAGCCTCAGTAAGGAATTCCCAGGAGCATCTAAAGGTGGAGATGATGCCTAAAGAAAGCCTGTGAAGTTTTTACCATCCACCCTTGTTAGCAAGTCTAAACACATAAAGTAGTCAACCCAACGACCCTGAGAGCCACACTAAACATGAGGATGGATAGCAATGCTTGTTACACGCTGCAGTTTGATTCACTGGAATCACTGGATAACGTCAGCCAATAACGAAGCCTTTAAAGTTTCAGTTGAAAAGTTTTCAGGTAGCTCCTGTGCAACCAAAACTGCCTGGATTTAGTGTGTTATGTCTCCGCTGCTTCACAGATAGTTGATTGAATTAGTTAATTAAGGCTGGAATTTTCAAAGAGGCCACAGGAATTAGGTAACCAAATGCAATGAGATTTGGGTACTTAACTCCCTTAGACTCCTTTGAAAAGGCCAGCTATAAATGTTCACCTCTTTAGTCGCAATTATTTGTACTCCCAGGATTATGAGCACAGCTGTTTATAAATGCAGGAGCGAGGTTGCAAAAGCAGACATGGCATGAGAACAGAGATCTGGCCATGCACAGCACACTAAATAAATGTATACAAGCAGTGGCCATACATTCAAACCATCCTTAAACTAAAAATACCAGTAGAGTTAGTAATACCTCTGAGGCCAGTGAGAGCTTCTGAAGCTCACCTAGTTAAAATCAACTAGATAAACACACTCAAATATACATGTGCACAAACTTATAATATATATATAAATACATATGCATATATAAAGTATATGCATGTCTATAAAAAGCCAGATGTGAACATGGGTGCAGACAGTTATTTGCTTCTGTGTGCATTTTTTTCTTTGCAAAACAGTTAATTGTAATAGTATTTGCTCCTGGGAAACGGGGCAGCTTATCTGCTGTGGCCATATCCATGATCTTATCCAAGTATGTGAGGAAACACCTTCCTTAACGGGCATATAATACAGGCACTATGGAGGCAACTCTGATTAAGAAGTAAAAATAACAACCTACAAATACTATAACAAAACAACCCTCTAATCAACAGAACCTGGTACCTTGTCTTTGTGCCTCACTGCAAGGCAAGAGGACAAAACCAATGGGGCTGTTTGATAAAGGCTTGGGGTGTTAATAACAAAAATATGGCAGAGCCAACCAATTCATCCTTGGTGCTGGCTCCCAGTAAAACCAGTGGAGTGACCCAGTGGCACGCTGAGGTGAGCAGTCAGACCTCGACCTCGCTGAAGAGAATGACACAGTGTGGGAGCTGGGATTGCCTTCCCCAAACACAGCTCAGGGCTTCCATCCCAGGGCTGCTGCCTCCCTGGAAGGCCGCTGCCATCACCATTATTGCCAACAGGAAAGTCCATGTGGCCTAAATGAGCTTCTTATCCAGCAAAACGCTCTCAGATACGAGTAACCTTGGAATGTTGGGACTATTCATGTGCTCAGAGATACTCGTGGGCTTAGGCACTTTGTTATGAAGGGACTCTCTAAAAGGAGACCAAAGAAGTGGGAATGAAGAACATCCAGCCAGGTCCTGTTCATTAGTGGACAACATTTTTTTTTTTCTACTAAAAATTGCCAAGACTTTATTCCATGTGTTCACAGCAAGAGTGCTGGCCCATAAACAAATCCAAAATATACAGAAGATCAATTTCTTCACATAAGGTGGGTCAGTGACTTTCCATTAGGGTGAGTCACCAAGTTCTCCAAACCCTTAAGGTGTAGCAGAGCAAATAAAACTGAGGTTAGCTGAGGAATGCAAACAGATATACAGCACATATAGAGCTTTAGCTTCACTCCAACATCCATCTGTGGCCATAAAATACAACCTCTTAAATGTAAAATGTATGGATTTCCCTCTGCAACAAAGGCATAAAATATCTCAGTCCCAAACAAGTATTTGAGCATATGAACATGATCCTTCACTTCATCTAGGACTACCCACCCAGTAAACCAAGCTGTATTCTTTCTGGGTGGCTCAGAGAATAGCATATTACAGTGGAAACACCCATTTATTTCATTTACTGCCATTTATAATATTTTCCACTATTTGCAGATAATGAATTCATCCACTTTTTGCCAAGATTATGCAGCCTGTTTTATAGCCAAAATTATCCAGAATCCTTCTAAAAATGTGTTACCCTTCATTTTCCATGATTGCTTAGTGGTTCTCTTGGAGCAGGACCAAGATCAACCATATTAACAATGCACAGCAATAACTGAACTGTCATACTCCTACTCTCCCAGCAGCAGGAAGGGTGCCATCGAGCTGCTCCCTGAAGTGTGCACAGCTCCAGAGCGTAACTGTTCAGGTTAATTAAAGCCATTCATTAGATGAGAAATGAGGAATTACTTTTGGAGCTCTTTCCTCTACAATGGTCTACAAAGGTCTCCTCATAAAGGTAGATACATTTCAGATTATCTGATGTCTTCTTGGCGCCGCCAACCCTTTGGTTCTCCAAGATAAATTGTACTTGTGGAATATAGCACAGAGGAGACCTACGATGTGTAACACGCCTGTGAAGACTGACACTCATCTTTAACATCACACACCACGAGGAGCCCTTCCCGATCCAACAGGAACACCAAGAGCAGGTGGAACAGGCACTCCATGACCAAGCCCATGAGGAGGGTGCTGTGTAGCTGCAAGGCACAAGCAAGGAGAAGATGGAAAGGGCAAAGTCCTTTGTGAGATGATGTGTTGCTGGTTTCTGAGCAGACAACTTCCAGCTCCCCGCACTGGCTGGGCTGGGCTGGCCATGGAGGGCGGAGCTGCTGCACCGTTCGCTCCCCGCTCCGCGAAAAACCAGCCCGGCCAAATCTGCTCTTCCCTTGTGCAGTGTCTGGCTGCCTGAAAATCCCATGCAGGGGAGAAAGAGGGCTCCTTGCCATCACCAGGCTCAACAGCTGGGCCCAGCATGTAAGATGAGGCACATGCAAATCTTTGCAGGAATTCCTCAGCGCTCAGGGTTTGATCTGGGAGTCAAGGAAACCTAGCTCAGGACCCTACACGAAAGAAGCAGTGCCTGCCCAAAGGTTCCAGTGGTCAGTGTTAGCAGGGATAACAGAAGGAATCACACCGAAATTACAAACAAAGGCTTAACAAAACAAACTCACGTTCGTTTGTTATAATTTTACACAAAAAGAAAGCCAGTGTAATAAATATCCCAACAGCCAAACAGTGCCTGTTTCCTAACATTATCACTATTTTCTTTGGCAATTCCGGGAATCTCTTAGCAGGAGCGATGGGGAAGGAGAAACTCTGGCTCAGCAAGAGGCTCTGTAGCAGCCAAAATCCGTTTTTCACCCAAATCAGCTGCAGGACTAAAGCTGAGCAGCCACCACTGAACAAGTTAAGCAGGCACCGTGTGTGAGTGGAGAACCAGGGGAACCACACAGCAGGTTGAGTTACGGCCAGTGGAACAGTGACAGCTTGTCATGGCATAACTGAGGATTTCTCAGCACGGACAACTGACAGCGGTGCAATACATATTAATACTCCAAACTCCTACTTGGATCCTCATAAATACTCCAGACTTTGCCAGGAACTCCTTTCCCTTTGGCCACTCCATTATTCAGTTTTACCATGGCTGGTTGGGGCCTTTATAATTTCTCCCTTCCTCTACAGGCAGCAACACTTCACCTCTTCATATAGAGCAGGCTCTGCTACATCAACCCAATCCAGCCTGGCTGAGACTTCTCCAGCCAACCCAAAACATACAGATTTTCTCTTTTTTTGGCTTCCTCCCAGTAACATTTTGAGGCCCTCCTTAATACTCATCCAGTTGATCTCAATGGAGCAGGATCTCAGTTGATTAGCTTTATTCAGACGAGTTTGTTTAATCTTAATCTCTCTCTCTCTCTTGCCTCCTCTTTTTTTTTTGGTTTTTTTTTTTTTAATTTTTGCCAGACTCTTTGATTCCCTTTCTGGTTCTTTTCAGGGTCTCCAAGCTTCAGGCACTTCTCTAAACACCCTCTAATGTTTTGATTTCTGATGGTTAAATTTAAACAAAACTTAAAAGCTTTTCCCAATTATTTTTACTCATTCTCAGAGTCATTTATCAATCCTATAGAGAGCCTAGATTCTCCCTATATAAATGGATTGCCCTGTTCATGTGTAGCTAATGTGTAACCTCC